GCTAGCATGCCTACAGCAATCTACAGCGGGCTACAGCAGGCCTCGCTATGTCTCGCTTGTGCGCCGATGTCCTGCAACAGGCCAGGGCTTGGACGACTTCGACTTCGAGGAGTCTGTGCCGAAAGCGGCCGTGCCTTGTTCCATTCATGCGCGTGTTTGTTGGCGTGCTTCGATTCCGCAAACATTTGGAAGATGTTGGAGGAAGTACAGGCTCGTATCCGAATCCAAACGTCCACTTAACTCCATGCACTCGGTACGCAGTAGCACATGACTCAGCAATTCGTGAGCCACAGTGAAGAAGTGACCAAATGCAGCGGAGCCTGCCACCTTCACCTGACGAAGAGACAAGCCGCCTTGCGCAAGTGATAAGAAGCCAAGGAATCCGTCTCGAAGGCGATGCCAGCCGAGACTGAAGGCGCCCAAAGCAAACTCAAAAAGACTTCCGAAGCATAGTGTGGGTTGCAAGCATGCGCCATCATGCTGAGCTTTCCCTACTTGTAGTAGCAATTCCTACGCTTGCAATGATTGCAACAGGCCTCAGTACGTCTCGCTTGATATCCTGCGATAGGCCAGGGCTGGGACGACTTCGACTTCGAGGAGTCTGTGCCGAAAGCGGCCGTGCCTTGTTCCTTTCACGCGTGTGTTTGTTAGTATGCTTCGATTGTGCAAACATTTGGAGGATGTTGGTGATACAGGCTGGTATCCGAATCCGAACGTCCTCTTAACTCCAAGAAAACCCGGTACGCAGTAGAGCATGACTCAGCAATTCGTAAGCCACAGTGAAGACGTGACCAAATGCAGTGGAGCCTGCCACCTTCACCTGACAAAGAGCCAGCCGCCTTGCGCAAGTGATAAGAAGCCAAGGAACCCGTCTCGAAGGCGATGCCAGCCGAGAGCGAAGGCGCCCAAAGCGATCTCAGCAAGACATCCCAAGCATAGTGTGCGTTGCAAGCATGCACTAGCATGCTGACTTGTAATAGCACTTGCTGCGGCATTGATTGCTTGATATCCTGCAATAGGTCAGGGCTGGGACGACTTCGACTTCGAGGAGTCTGTGCCGAAAGCGGCCGTGCCTTGTTCCTTTCACGCGTGTGTTTGTTAGTATGCTTCGATTGGGCAAACATTTGGATGTTGGAGGAAATGCAGGCTTGTATCCGAATCCGAACGTCCTCTTAAAACTCGGTACGCAGTAGAGCATGACTCAGCAATTCGTGAGCCACAGTGAAGACGCGACCAAATGCAGCGGAGCCTGCCACCTTCACCTGACGAAGAGCCAGCCGCCTTGCGCAAGTGATAAGAAGCCAAGGAACCCGTCTCGAAGGCGATGCCAGCCGAGAGCGAAGGCGCCCAAAGCAATCTCAGCAAGACATCCCAACATTGTTGGTTTGCAAGCATGCACAAGCATGCTGACTTGTAATAGCACTTGCTACGGCAGTGATTGCGACAGGCCTCAGTACGTCTCGCTTGTGGGCCGATATCCTGCAACAGGCCAGGGCTGGGACGACTTCGACTTCGAGGAGTCTGTGCCCAAAGCGGCCGTGCCTTGTTCCTTTCAGTGCGTGTTTGTGGCGTGCTTCGATTGGGCAAACACTTGGCGGATGTTGGAGGAATAAAGGCCCGTATCCAAATCCGAAACGTCCCATGAACTCAGTACCGAGTAGCACATGACTCAGCAATTCATGAGTCGTGACCAAATGCAACGGATCCTGCCACCTTCACCTGACAAAGAGCAAGCCGCCTTGCGAAAGTGATAAGACGCCAAGGAAGTCTCGAAGGCGGTGCCAGTTGAGAGCGAAGGCCCTCATGTTGGTTGCAAGCATGCGTAAGCATGCTGATCTTTTCATACTTGTAGCGGCAATTGCTACAGCAATCTTCAGCAGGCCTCACTACGTCACATTTGTGGCCGATGCCCTGCAACAGGCCAGGGCTGGGACGACTTCGACTTCGAGGAGTCTGTGCCGAAAGCGGCCGTGCCTTGGCGCTTACACGGCGTGTTTGTCGAGGTGCTTCGATTTTGCTGGAAACCCTTGTGCATCACGAAGCCCTCTGCCAGACATTCCCACACCTCCCTCCCCTACTCCTTTTATAGGGGAGGGGAGTCTGGCATACAGCCTATGGAAATCGGCTAAGGCAAACCCTGACCTCACCTCATCAGCTTACAGATACCCTAAACCCTAAACCCTAAACTTGGCCTAAACCCTAAACCCTAAACCCTAAACCCTACGATCATCAAACATCCGAAAGAGCACGCCCATGAGCGAATTTTGCCCAGTCCAAGCAAGCCGAGGAGCCCATCTCGACGACGGCGCCAGCCGATAGCGGAGGCACTGAAATCAATTTTGTATTACTTACTATGATTATTGTTATTATTATTGTTGTTATTATTGTTATTATTGTTATGATTACTATTGTTACTGTTATTGTTTTTATTGTTGATTATTATTATTATTATTATTATTATTATTGTTATTATTGTTATTGTCTTTTTATTGCATTACTTGTATGATTTTCTAATACACATATAGAAAAGGTCAGATACAATAGAAAACATGTTAGTAATTGTCAGAATATAAATATCACCAGCTTGCTGGGCTGCATGTGCTGGGTGTTCCTGATGGAGATTCGGCGACAACGCTTGTTGCCGACCATGTTTGATTGATGGTCGAGGGGCAACTGCTGGGGGATCTCCTGTAAGTCTCTGCATGGTAAGTGGCCTTGGGAAGGCACTTTGGTCATGAAAACTTACCATCTGTTGAAACCGTCTGAAACCGGCCGTCAGCCCCGTGCCACTACGCCATCTTCGTGGGTATTGTATTTGCTTCTTTTTGTCTTGGAGTTGCAGCAGCTGTTGGTAGGTATGGGTGCAGTTAGTGGCAGTAGTAGCGCTGGTGGTGTTGTCAATGCCAGCAGCAATGGTAGTGATGTTGGCGCGATAGAATCAGCCAGACGGCGAAGAGGTTGACGCAGTCCATGGCTACTTTGGCTCAATCAGGTGAAGCTGAAACCTTAGCATCGGACACAAGGAAGCCCCCTAGAGACACCTAAGCCGCCCCCCAAACCCCATGCCTAGGCCCGATCTTACACTGCACAATGCCCAGCTGGTTGGCACAAGTTAGTCCCAAGGAGTCGACGCCCCCAACGTTGAATCAAAGCAGATGCTGCGGGTGTGGACCACTTCGGGACAGGAACTCGCTGCCCTGCCTGCGCAGGAGATCAGAGACGCGACTTGATGTCTTTGGCACGAGAAACCGAGCATGTTTAGTTTTAGGGTTGGCGATGGGGCTTGTAATGTTGATTGCTTTCTTTCTTATGTCGTGGCACAAGAAGGTCACCCACGGAGAACATTGCCATGTACAGTACCATTGTAGCCGTCAGACTGCTGTCAGACTTTCCAACTGTCAAAACTCGTATTGCTCGAACTTTCAAAGTGCGAATATCCGAAACGTTCAAAGTGTCAAGCTTTTCATGCTCGGGCGTCGCCAAGCTGCAAATTGCAGTGTCTCAAACTTTCTATACCTCCCAAATCGAAGCTTGACTCCCTCTAACTCCCAAACTTTGCATCCGTCGAACTCGAGAAGATCTCGAACTCCGAACTCGACATTAGGGTTTAGGGCTTAGGGTTTAGGGTTTAGGGGACACCCTTGAAACTGTCGAGCTCGGAAGCGGCCCCGCCGTGTTTGATCTCATGTGCGTGTGGTTGATCTTACGCTTTTCAAGCATTCAAACTCCGAACTTTCGGGCTCCGATTCCTTCCTTTTGCAAACTCTTCAACTCCAAAGTTCCAACTGTCTTTCTTTACGTTACAAATTCTAAATGGCTCAAAGTTGGAAGAAGTAAAGGTGACGTCCATCTTCAAGATTACCGTCCGGTCAAGATTGCTCGAAATCGTGCTCTCGCCTGGGCCCTGTGCACTTCTTGAGGCTGATACCACTCCGTGCGCTTTGGGCTGTTGGATGGGTTCGCCCACGCGCCTTTGACAAGTGCAGAACTATCGTCGCTGTTGGCCCCTTGCACTTCTGTCGGAGTGGTCTTAATTGGGGGTTTCCTTCTTCATTAGGGCACCTTATTGGGGTCCTTATTATAAGGGAATCCTACTATTTGGGGGTTCATATTGGGGTTCCCATATGTTCGTAAACCCCCAATTCGGTCTGTCACGCTTGCTCTGGTCGCCTGGATGTGGGCAT